GCAATGCGACTTCCTCGTGCGTCGCTTTGGTTTTCTTCCTATTCTATAAAGGAAGTGAAACCCACATGTTTGTGGTTTTACTTTGCCTCTGCTATCCCTTCGCCTTATATCTTATTTCTTATTCAATTAAGATATCGTCAGCAAACTCATCCTCCGGTGCATGGCGTGCCCCCTTCTCATGGTTCGGCAGGGAGGCCGAGAATACGGATTGATCGCCTGGGGTGGCCACTCCTTTCAACCGACCCCCATTGGTGTGCACACCTGATGACCGACCCTCTTTACGCTGCCCTGGACCCTATCTGCACTTACAGGGGAGATCAAGCGAATCTCCCTATGCTTCATTGCCTAACGATCCATGACGACTACATCTCCTACGGCTACCGTGGCTATCTTCCCTGGATTCTGGCCGACTTCTCCCGCTACATCAGCATCTGCCCCACCCAGCTCCACCATTTGGCGTAGGGCCATCTTATTGCTTATCAGGTCCATTTGGATTTGGTTGGAGTTCGCGTCTGCGGCTCTGTGGTGGTGCTGTCTTACCAGCTCCGCAATCTCACTGTCGGCTCTCTTTACTATACCTTGCATGCCAAGGATGGCTGTTCCGCCCCCATTCTCGGGGATCGTTCTGAGAGTCACGGTTGGTGGGAGCGGTTCTTTTACTAGAGGGTGCCTGAGGGCACCAACGTCCCGCTCACCTGACGGGGCGAGGTGAGCTCCTAGACCGCTGACGTTCGTTCTCACTCTTCCTTTTCGATTGACATCTAATTTTTAGCTTTGACGCTTGTAGGCTCTGTGGCCTCGCACGCCTATAACCAGGGCGATCTAGACCAGCTGCTCACGCTAAATGAACGGTTCAGGTCATTTGAGTTTTTGCTCTCACCGATGAGTATCCAGACGAGCTCTCTTATCTTTCCGGCCTGCGTGCTGATTCTTTCTCCAAGTAAGTACTTGATCCCCTTGGTCGCATTGGTTGTGAAGATGCATTCACTGTTTTTTGGTTTGGCATGTCACCTGCGCCGACTCGAATGGGTTTGTGGATCTTTATGCTCCGGGGGTCGGCGGCCTAATGCCAGGTACACTCAAAGCGCGAGGAGGGCGTCTGCCCAACCGCCTCTTCGGAGACACCGTACTGATTCTCCCGCTGGTAAGACACTGCAGGCAAGCCCTTCTATGGCCTAAACAGGACCGCTCTTCGTCCTCCCATCCTCGATGGGCTACAACTCCTCATAGGGCTATGAAGTTCCATATGGGGCTGGTCTTTTCCGGCCAGCAGGGGTTCTGGGGATCTCCGGACCCAGGACATTGATGCCCGTAGCCCCTTCTATGCCAGACTCCCCACGGGCGAAGAGCTCTTCCTCTGAATCGGCGCCTTTTCCGACGCTAACGCCTCCTCTGGCCGAGGACCGCTCTCTGGGTGGCGTCAGACCGCCTTGGAGCTTACCCGTTCGCTGGATGCAATAAGACTTTCTCGGACCCTTACGCTTTCTCTTTCTTAGGGCAGCAACTTTTATTGATCTTTTTATCTAGAGTCAGCGCTTGCTCGAGATACTGGAGCACGAACTCCACGCGACTGAGCACCGCGAACGTAGCCTGGCTGACAGGTCCAGTGAGCTCCAAGCCAAACTGCTCGTGACCCGAGACTAGCTAGCGGAGGTGCAGTCCTTCGCTAGGGGGAAGGATATGAGTGTGAAGGTGAAGCGTTTTAAGACGGTGATGACCGATAGTCAATGGGATTTGGAGACCCGTGTCTTGAAACTGCAAATGGCTTTGCATGACCCTCACAGTGCTTCGGGCTTCTCCCCAAGCACAGAACATGATGTCGTGCTATGGCAGTGCAAGCCTTCTCTAATAGTCAAACGACGATCGGCAGGCTCAGGCAAGAACTCGAGGAGGAGCACCGCCGAAATGGGTCATGGGGGGGGGGGGGGGGAGGGCTGGATGCTCTGGGAGCATCAGAGCCTTCGTCGGCGGGGCCTTCGCCGAACTTTTAATTAAAACTCTTTTTTTTTCTTTTCAGGGATCTTTGTCCCTTGTAAAATATATTCTTGTACTCTTGGATCCGATGACCGCTTTTCTGACCTTCTAAATGGTTTTCGGTTAATGTGCACATCTTCTGTCTTTTATGCGCCTTTCTTTGTTCGTTGCTTTATTTTGCGGTAGATCCGGTACTTTGACTTCGAGGCTAGCGTGAGCACGGCTTGGAGGTCTTAAGTCTTGAGGTGTAAGGTTATCCTGCATAGCTTATCGGAGATAGGAACCTCTACCGGGCTCACGGTCTTTGCGGGCCTTTTCTCGTGCAATGCGCTCTTCGTGCGGTGGAGCCATCTTGGCTGCTTCCTTCGTGGAACTTCTCGCCGGTGATCCTTTTTTCTTTTAACGCTAATTGTTCGGGAGCATTTTACAGGATGCCAAGTGGGGGTGTATCATTTGTCCGGGTAGTGGAGCTGTGTCTCCAAGTTTCTTCCTCTACATGGAAAGAGGACAAGCCATTCTGGGGCGGAAGCCTGTTCGAGCTCTACAGGCACTAGCGAAAACCTGTTCGGATCTTGCAAGCACTTTACACAAAAGGTCAGCCGGGCCTTCAGGAGGACCGAAAGAGGGTTGCTCTCCCGAAGGTTCTCCGACGCCCAAGTCAATGAATGCCCTTCGAGAATAGATACCCAGGAGGGTAATTCTACGGGTTTAAGATTAGATGCCTCGTCGGGAAATCAGAACATATTTCTGTTTATAAGGTGTTTTGGAAGGGTTTTATAACGAAAAGAGTGACAGCGAGTATATAAAGGCATGGTTCCGGGTTAAAAAATGACTTATCCTGTTTGGCGATCTCTGGGGAACAGGGGCATTCCCTTTTGACTATGCTGCATGGTGGTGCCCGACTTTTCCAGGTCAGGGCCGGGTCCTTCCTCCTTAGATCGAACTCTAAGGAGCTCTCTCCTTTGATCTCGACATCTTTCTCTCTATAGATTGTGCTCTCTCTCTCTCTCTCTTGGACTTCCTCCTTCGGGACTGCCCCCCCCCCCCCCCCCCCCCCCCCCCCCCTTCTCTTCTCCTCTTCATTAGCCTCCTTTTATACAAGTTTTCTCCATCATGTCCCATCTGTTCGGCATGCTAGAGGAGCAGGTGGGTTGATGGCGCATGCATGATTTGGAAGCTCGCTAACTACTCAGAAATAGTGTGCTAAGGGCAACCCCAATGGTCATACTTTTAATGAAGGTCTTATTGATTAATTTATAATATTTAGTGTAGTTTATGTATATAAGACACTTTGTAAAATTTTGTTGTTTTTAAACCTACAATAGAGACACTTTGATGGGGGTCTTAAAAAAAAAATATATATATATATATATAAATTTTTTTATAATAAATTTAAGTAAAAACTTATGTTAATAACTTTTAAAACATAATATATTTTCAAAATATAATACATAGAAACATAAAAATTACATAAATGCAATTTAGAAATTGGAAAACCCGTTCAATTATAATCTCCACTTCCGCCAAACTTTTGCCATATATGTTCAACCAAATCAGCTTTCAATTGTTGATGTCCCGGGTATTTCGCATCTTCGCTAAAATAATTGTTCCATAACTTGATGTGGCCTTCTTCACGATTTCTTTCAATATATGCTCATTTTTTCTTTGATTTGGTTGGCTTTTGACGATCAACAAAGAGATTTTCGAGTGATTTTTCGAAAGGTTGGTCAAATTTTTCTTCGAACATTTGATCAAATTTTTTATTGTACGGATAATTGGAAAAATAGGCCATTTGAAAATATAGAAAAGAAAAGAAATTAATAATTTCTTGTAACAAAAAAGTGAATGTGTTCAGAAATAGAAAAGGAAAATAGAAAAAATAGATGTTGAAAAGTGTTAGTTTCTGTCAACTCATATTTTTGTCCACTCATATTAAGCTATGTGTCCGTTCTTAAATAAAATAAAAGATCATAAATAGGATCTTGGTTTAAATATTAAGACACTACTTTTAATTTTTTTATTTAATTATATTCTTTAGAACATTTCTTAGATCTTTTGGTATGTTTATTGGGGTTGGTCAAAGGAGTTGTTGATCAAGTTAGCAGTATGTGTTAGCGTTTAAGGTGGTTTGGTGCCTACGTGCTGGACCCAATACCTGCACATACATACGGATCAAAAATAAAAATTAAATAAATTATTATATATTTTAATATTTTTTTATATTTTATTTTAAAATATTTTTTAATATTTTTTTATCTTCAATTTTTATTGAAATTTATAATATTTTTTATTAATTTATCGTTATTTTTATTATTAAATATTTATTTAATATTATTATTAATATATAATAATTTATATATAAATTAAATATTTTAAATATTATATTAATAATATATTGATTATATAAAATATTTTATAATCTATTCAATGTAAAGACCGATCACCTAATTCAAATTACGATGATGTTAATTTTATATGATTTAATAATTTATTAATCAGTCTATAAAATAATAAAATATTTATATAATATTATTATTAATACATAATTAATTATATATAAATAAAATATTTTCAATATATTATATTAATCATATATTAAATATATAAAATAGTTTATAATCAATATACACGATCACGATCACCTAGTTCAAATTATGATGGTGTTAATTTTGTATGATTCAATAATCTATTAACGAGTCTACAAGATATTTGAACAAAGTTGGTCAACCAAATCCCAAGAAAAATTACTTTTTATAGTACTACTACTATACAGTTTCACGAGAATAATTAATCTTCCACCTAGTCAATTTTCAAACATCACGACTACATTTCCTTTAAGCATTCATTAATTTATAGTAGTATTGACTAGATTTACCAATTGACAACACCAAACATTTTGAATCTATATAAAACGAGCTTAGGCTAACATTTTCAAGAAAGTCCTTTTGGTAATTAACCCTTCGACCAAATAAAATAATCCTCTCAAGTTTTATTTAAGTCATGGCCGTTCGTTACTTGGTGAATAAATGGACGGTTAGATATCTCCTGGTTGTGCTAATGGTGATGGTAATAGCGCTCTAACATTTATCACTATAATATATGGTAAAAATATTGTAAATAGATGAGACCTAGTTCGTATCCACAAAAAGTTATCACTGAAGAAGACATTGCCCCAGCACCAAGCAACGATGAAGAACAACTAGAAGAGATATAGCTCAGCCTTGGCAGTTGGCAGGAGAGTGCCCTGAAAACACTATTCCCGTCAAAAGAGTAACAAAAGAAGATCTTTTAAGAGTAGACAATATTAACAATTACGGGAAAAAAACTAGTCGTACGAATATCTCTCAGCCTCATCAATTCTATCATCCGACGGCTATCGGAGAAAACGTTTACCACGAGGTATATGTATATGTGCACTCAAATGATCAATACTTGTTCTTGATCATCACATTTAAACCTTCTTTTTTGGAACTATATATATGTTTTCTTGTAGTATGCGACCACATCTGCTAATGGCGTTTTCCGAGGAGCTAAAGCACAGATGAATGTATGGAAACCGCGGATCCAAGAAGCAAGAGGATTCAGTTTATCACAAATATGGGTCGTAGGAGGCAACGATGGTCCTGGTTTGAATACTATAGAAGCTGGTTGGCATGTAATATTGATTTCTCTCCTGTTTTATTTATTTACCCTTTTCCTAATTAATTCAGTTTCTACTTATGGAAACTAAACAAAATTAATCACAGGCCGACCCGGATCTACATGGTGGTGATGCCAGTCCCCGAATTTTTATTTTCTGGACAGTAAGTTTTCATGATAATTACATTTGCCTCTTCTTTATTTTTTCAATTTTTATTTACTTTTATCAGATGAATATATATATATATATAATAGACTATCATTCATTTATTTTAAAATAAACTAATGAAAACAAAAAACAGAGCGATGGCTACCACAAAGCGGGGTGCTACAATCACCTCTGCTCTGGCTTTGTTCAAACCAACAAAAGAATTGCACTTGGTGCTTTGTTAAAACCCATCTCCACCTACAATGGTCCACAATTTCTACTGATCGTACAAATATGGAAGGTTGGTTTCGTTAAGTTATTTTTCTTTATATATGAACTTTTATTTTTGTAGTATTCATCAAATATATACACATTCTTGTACTAGTAATCAAATACTTACGATAAATGTTCTTTCAAAAAAAAAAAATGATTTACATGCACATGTTAAACCTAAAAGTACATGAAAACGACATTCTATCATTTTTACGTTGCATTGTTTCACTATTTCGTTAAGCATATCAATCATCTCAAAACCCTTTAGCAAAAAGAAAAAAAAAACATATCATTCATCTTTCCTTTCATTAAATATGAGTCATTTGGCACACTTTCCATATAAATTTGAATATTGTTTTTCTTAGGATCCAAAGTCAGGAAACTGGTGGTTGCAATTGAATGAGAAAGAGTTAATGGGGTATTGGCCAAAGGAGCTCTTGCCAAACCTTGCAAACGCGGCGAGAACAGTTGAATGGGGAGGTGAAGTGGTGAACATAGAGAAAAACGGACAACACACGACCACCGAAATGGGAAGTGGACACTTTCCAAGTGAAGGGTTTGGGAAGGCAAGTCACTTTAGGGTCGTCAAGATCATTGATACGTCTAATGTTATAAGAGACCCGGTTCGAATGACAACCGTAGTGAGTAAACCTACTTGTTACAATCTCAAAAATGGTTATAGCAGGCCTTGGGGAGTTTTCTTTTACTATGGTGGTCCTGGCCGTAACCCTAGATGTCATTAGAAATTTCATCTACGTTATACATACATGATATTACGTTATACATACGTGCTCTAATATGATTCAATGTTTTTGTCTTTTTTGAAGTCTTAATAAAAAAGATTATAAGTTTATAACTATGACGGTTGACTCTTCTGTTTTCTTGTGATCATGATCCATTAATAACTATGCATTTTTTAAAAGTGTTTAACCAATATCCAAAAGATTTGAAAAATCGTTTTATTCGTGGGTCATTACACTACAAAAATAAATCATTATTGTTACAAATTTTTCTGTCATAATATATAAAATTTCCGTCACAATAATTATATTGTGACGATAATATCACAAATTATAAAAGATCACAATAAAAACGTCACAAATTCATTTTAGTCACAAAAATGTCATAACATTATGTGACGCTTGATAATAGTAACAATTTGTCACCATTTGTGACGATATTAAAACAGTCACAAAAAAGATACAGTTTATGACAAAAAATACTATCACAATTAAGTCACAAGTTATGATAAAAAATTGTCACATATTTATAACAAATTCTTACTATATTTATGTCACTGATCTGCTATAAATTATAACAAAAATAATATCACAAAATTTGTCATAACTAGTGACTAAATTATAATCACAAAAATAACACAATTAGTGACCACAATATTATCACAAACCGTCACATTTAGTAACACAATCACACAATTGTTATAATTTTTTTTGTATTGTAACTTTTTTTTCTTACTTAAATTGATACAATAAAAATAAAAATAAATGAAACAATTAGCCAATGCAAATCTCCAAAAACAAAAGCCTTACAGAAGAACCCAAATAACAAAGAATCATGAGAATCCTCTCTTAAAAATTAAAATAGATCCCCAGCTGAAATCATACATAACGAGTGAAAAAATCCCGAACACAAATCAAAATAGAATAACAGAAGAAAGAAAAGATTTAAGACTAAAAGAGTCTCACAACAGATTGGGAGTGAAGCTTCCTCCTTAGAATTTGCTGGATGACTCTTCCTCCAACCATTTGATTAACGCTTGTATCAAATTAACTCGCTGAAAAACAAAGAAAGTGGGATGAAAAGAGAATAACGAGGCATTAATAATGCGATTGTATTAATAGATTTCTCTTGGTAAAGATGTGAAGATGAGGTGGTTGCTCCTTTGCTGAAATCATTAGATCAAAATATAATAGACGAGAAATCATACTTTTTCGAAAATCAATGGTCAATAACACTTTAACTTTCTTGAATATGTCCCTAAATCTTAATTGTCTAAGTATTAACTCGCACATTCTGCAGAGAAGCTGCAAAAACACCAAAACTAACTCTTGAACAACAAAGGTAGCTGCAAGCATTCAAGGAAATCGTTTCAACCTAAGTTACTTCATGAGATTAAGCATTATCAGATAGAACAAGATAAAAAGATCCAGCAGAGCAAACAAGAGAAGAGAACATACATCACAAAGCTTCTTCGTGATCTTCACGGCTGTCTTTAGATAATCCAATGTCTCTTGGTGATAATCTGCATCGTACGAAGAAAACTCGAATTGACCCACGGCACAACAAATACTTAGTGAGAGGAAACCCCAAGCAAGTCACTTCCACAGATGAATTTAATGTCTCTAGATTACGTGAGAAGCATACAGTTCCATTCAAGCATGAGACTTCTTCAAATATTTCCAAAGTACATAATTCTAAACAATAACGGAACACGTCGATTAGCTTCCTTTTCTACAGAATTAAAATGGAAGCATTGAAACAATTAACAAGAAATTTAGCAACATGATAAAACTTGGCAGAAATATCAGACTGGAAAGATTTATTATTTGCTTAAAAATCATATACCTCTTGTCCCGTGGAAATCGATTGTCTGGAATGCCGGAGGAATCCCTAATCGTAGTTTTCTTTGTTGGCTTCTCCTGCTCAATCGATGCCCTACAAGGGACAGAATCATTGGCCGGGGAATCTCTGTCGACCCTCAGTGTGTTCTCTGCAATTGCCCCGCTGAAACTCGTGACCATCTACTGTTTGATTGCCCAATTAATTGGTCAATTTGGAGAAAGATTGGTTCTAGATGCGAAATCATGCCATCTAGACACTGGGAGCAGACACTGTCGGATTTTCAACTCTTGCAAGGATCAAAATCGAAGAAGAAACTGGTGCTCATCGCTTGGCAATGCACCATCTACGCTATCTGGTTGAAGCGAAACAGTCGCATCCATCGACCATCGACACCACTATCCCAAACCGTTGCTCCAGTTTCAGAGATTGTAGACCTCGACAAGCATCGCAGATGTTTCAGATCCGCTCAAGCTCTTCTTCCCCTCGCAAGTTCCGACCCTCTTCTGCGATTTAATTATGTCCTATTGGTTTAATTGGGTTCTTTGGTTCAACTAAATGTTGGTTTCATTATTCCGTGGATACAAAAGAAATCGGAGGGAAATTTCCCGCTTTCAGAATTTTTTTAAATATGGCTACTATTTTAACACTACTATTTTAACTTATTGTAAAAATATTATTAATAAGAAAAAAAATTGAATGAGATTTATTTCTATCATATTCTCTATTTTTAATAATTTGAGAAAATTTGGTATACAAAATTCAATTATGAGATTCCCATTAAATTTAAATGTTGATTTATCTTAGATATTAATTTTTTAGAGGAATTTAATGGAAACAATAATTAATTTTTTTCTACTTATTATGTATTTTTAGGTTTTTTAAATAAAAATTAAAGCAATTTTTTTTTATTTTTTAATTTACATAATATTTTAATCTTATCATAAAATGGTAATATTTATGTTATAATTTATGACTAAACGCAAATGTCACTCAAATAGTGACTAATTATGACAACATACTTACAAAATATTTGTAACAATGAGTGACTTAAGTTTAGTCACAAAAATCGTATTATTTAGTTACTAAATTTGGTTGCAAATCCATAACAATATTTGTGACTATATATTTTGTAACAGTTATATCATAATTAGTAACAGAAATTTGTTACATTCACTTTGGTCACAATCTTATGACAAAATGGTAACATTTTTATGACTAAATAAGTTTGTCACAATTTCGTATATAAATTGTTATAATATTGTGACAAAACAATTGGTCATAATTTTTTTGTAACAATATTCAATTTTTTGTAGTGTTAGTACAAATGTTAATGAAAAAGATTGAAAAAAGAATGAAGCTGAGCTGGCAGAATATAGTGAGTCAAATGTTAACAGAATCTCTACATACAAAGGGGATTCTTACGTCTATGCTGTTGTTGTTTCTCTAGTTTTGGCTCGTCTTCTCAGATTATTTACAATTAACATATGGAAAGAAGAACTTGCAAGCTCGTTTCTTTTTTTGCTGAAAAGCTTTCAAATTAAATTAGTGTGTGATCTATATGTTTCATATTCTGTTTTATAATATAATTATAAAAAAACTTAAACAATATAAAGTATCATTTTGGTTAGTTATTATTTTTGTATGTAGTTAATACAATATAATTAATCGAAAATGTCCAATATATAAAATAAGTTATATATATATATATAAGCTACATTCTTTAAAAAATGTTGATTTATAAATAATATTACATAGCAAAGTTTTGAATATACATATTCACAGAAAAAGTTAAACAATCGCATATTCAATATTATTTTCATTTGTTAACTTCAGATATAAGAAAATTATATTAAATTTTATATTTACATTTCTCTCTTTTTAAATTTTGAGTTGGATGTTTATTCATACAACATTAATTTTTCTTTCAAAGATTTTTAACATTTTTGAAGATACATATTTTTTCATAAATGTTTGATATGATATATTTTCAAGATGCACTATTCTCTCTCTCTCTTATACACATATACACGCAACATACTGAACTATAAATAAAAGTTTGGTACGATTTTAAATTATTTTTAATTTTTACAGATTTTAATACTCTTTTTTTTTTGCCAGTCACAACTTATACAAAGTTCGTAGTTTACCAACACAAAACTTTATAACTGTAAAAAAAAAAAACACTAAAATTTCTCATGGTAAAACTGAATTGATTAAGTATATATCCATATTGAGAATAATCAATCATAATATTTTATATTAGAAAATTTAGTATTAAAGTAATGTTGTTTTTTTTGTGTAACAGTTTAGGTTTTGATATGATTTTTAATCCAAAAGTTATTTTTTAGATTTAGAAAAACTGGATTTAACTCCAATTATATGAAAAAATCTTTTTTCACTCATAATATGATAATAAATTTAAATTAATAAAATTATTAATAAAATTTTAATGTATTTATTTAAAAGTAAATGTTTTTCTAAACTATAAAATATCTAACTTAAATAAAGTTTCTATAGATCAAATAAGTTATCTTTTATGATAGAAATAACTTTTTATGTTTTATTTAAATCTATTATATTAATATATGTTAGTTATTATAAGATTAAAAAAAATAGAAGAACATAAAAAAATAAAAAACAATTAGTTGATGATATGTCATCATTTTAAAAGATGTGTTGATGAGGTGATATTATAAGAATAATTTATATTCTCTTATATATATATATATATATATATTACATCATTATGTAATTCTGCAACACAATATAAATGTAAACGGTTATCACAAGCGGTATTTATATATATTGATAAAAAGTAAGTAGAATAAACTGCAAATAACTTTTCATGTTCTATTTAAATCTATTATATTAATATATGTTAGTTATTATAAGATTAAAAAAATAAAAGAACATAAAAAAAATAGTTGATGATATGTCATAATTTTAAAAGATGTGTTGATGAAGTGATATTATAAGAATAATTTATATTCTCTTATATATATATATATATATTACACCATTATGTAATTCTGCAACACAATATAAATGTAAACAGTTATCACAAGCGGTATTTATATAAGCTGATAAAAAGTAGGCAGAATAAACTGCAAAAAACTATTGTGTTTGAAGAATCTATTTAGTTATATTTATTATATTTTATATACTTCTTTAATTTTCAGTATATCGATTTGATTTATACAATATATACAAGGCATAACATAATTTACATTCTTTGACCCAAAAAAAACATAATTTACATTCTTTGATCAACAAATGTTTCACATACATATATGTACTGTATGTTTATTCAAATACACAAGAGAAAATTCAGACATAATAATTCATCATTAGAATTATAAGTTTCTCATTCGATAACAAAATATGTAATAATAGATAAGTATCCTTTCTTATTATATATTTTAACATCATATAGTCTTTCTTTAGTTATAACTTATTTGGAAAATATAGTTAAAAGTTGTTGAAGAATCAAGTTAAAATAATATGATGATTAGAAACTAAAGTAAAAATATATTACCATTGTTGATGGAAAAGATTAAGTATACGATAAAATAAACTATAACTAAACTTTTTGACAAGCTATATTGTGAAGCAAAAATTCGAGCATCACGCGGATACTCATCTAGTTTATTTAAAAGTAGATGTTTTTCTAAAGTATCATTAATCTTTCCATCATAAATGTAAGGATATAGCTTAACTCAAATTATTAAATTAAAGTTTCTATAGATTAATATATAAGTTATCTTTTTTTATGAAATGAATTTTTATATACTATTTGAATCTATTACATTAATAAATGTTAGCTGTTATAAAAATAAAAATAAAAAAGCATAAAATAATAGATTAAATAAAAATTGAAAATTAATTGATGATATTTTATAATTTAAAAAGATATGTTGATGAAACAGCATTATAAGAAGAGACTATATTCTCTTTTATATATATAGATTAGAACTTGCAAGCTCATACACTTAATTTTTTTTTTTTTTGGTAAAAGTCATACACTTAAGTTCTGGGTTATATCCTTACATTTCATCAATATAGTCTGTATTCTCTTATCAGATATTTAGGTTAAGTATAATATTTTCTTTGAATATGATTACTATACAATAGGTGTTTCCCCGTACCTTGTACGAAGTTCGATTAAAATTTTTTAAAAGTATAACATTAGTTTATTTATAGATAAAAAAATCAGGTTTTTATAATGATTTGAAACCAAACTTAATATATTTGAAAATACAATTTTTATGAATATATTGTTTTTTTGTGACAAAGCAAAATATATTATTTATATCTTATTTTTTAATATCTTTTATATTACCAGATAAAATTTATAAGTATGTTTTGTTGTTTTGTTACATTTATCAAAGATGATAAATAATTCTCTTCTTTTGATGTAAATTGGTAGATTATGATTAATGAAATACAAAATTTGCATTAAAAAAAAACATAGCAATCCAAAATGACCAAAACCAAAAGATCCTTGTTTCATATCAACTTAATATTAATTAATATATATATAGAGAGTTTTAAAAGGGTTTAAGTGATTTAGAGTTTTACTTATGATAGTATAAATTAATTAAGTTAGTCAAAATATTAGTAGGTTAAACAATCAAATTAAAATTAGTTTAATGAAATAATTAGGATTTCTTTTAATTTATTCTAGTTACCTTTTTTTAGTAAACTGTATATTTTTATGATATAAACTCAAATTTGGAAATTTAGGTTTAAATAAAACGAAAATCAAAAATTAGAATAACATATTATATATTAGTAAACAAAACACATATAATTTCTTTATAATAAAAATATCATTAGATTGTGGTTGAATAAATTTTATTTTTCAGATGTAATGCACGTAAAACAATCTTGTAATGAAACTTATCATATTTAAGCCAAAATTGGATCCCCAAATAGAATTTTTTACTCAAATTCAATATATGAACCCCCATGACTTTTAAACACTTTGTATCCTGATAATATGTTATGATAAATAAATAAATTTACGACAAAAAAGCCACTATAGTAAGAAAGTAAAAGTTAGATCTAAATAATTTTTTTTATGTGGTTTTGAGCAATATAAATAATTTTGAA